CCTCCTCGTGTCAATGCAGGGGAAACACTGGTATATATTGTATACATGGCATTAATTTTTGGCTCTTGCGTATATGTATACGTATTATGTATATATATATACATAATACGTATACATATAAGCAAGAACCAAAAATTAATGCCATGATGTTGATTGACTCGTCACTCTTGGTATAAGGTATGGACGAGAGTAAATAGGCAAAAAATCACATCAAAAGATTGAACGATTGTTACATGAAACTTACTTGCACTTACTTCTTTATTTGGGTTTAAAAAACTGAAAGCACTTATATGTAATTAAAATCGGCAACATAAAATACAATAGAGTCTGAGGAGACTAAAATATGTAGTAAGTATGTAAGTAAGTAAGTAAAAACTTTATTTAACAACGGTAAAACATGTTAGGTACAGACACAATAAAATGGCGCGGACCTATCTTCCAAATATATATTTCTACATAATATTCCTAAATATGACTGTGGCTTAGTGTCACATGGCAGCGGTGACAGTGACAGTGGGGAGACACTGGGGACACTTACCTATTGATGCTAGCACACTCGTGGTTGCCTCGTAACAGGAAAATGTTGTTCGGGTATTTGATCTTGTAGGCCAGCACCAGACATATTGTCTCCAGCGAACGTTTGCCTCTGTCAACAAGCCAACGGGCAATATTGTAAGAGCATAGATGCTATACACGTAGAACTCAGGTGACCGGACAGACGAGAAGAAACGTACATCGCATCAAGAGTACATAATATGATAATAGAGATTCTCTACTATGTACTCTTGATCGTATGTCTGACGTGCACACACATAGCAACGCGCACAGACACATGCGCACACACGTGTCGTAGAAACCGTAGATTCTGCAAGCATAAGTGTAGTATAGACGCTTGCCATCCCAAAAACAAGTCGATTTGGTAAACAACCTTGCGTGCGTCGGCAAATCTGTTGATGTCCGTAGATCGTAAACACAACGATTTGCATGGTAGAGCGGTCTTTTATGGCCTTACCGGTCCTAGGCTTTTATGGCGCCGTCGCGAAATGGAACGGTGACGTGTCGCGACACACACTCGGGTCTCCTTCTTCAGCCACGTAGGTTCTCTTTTCTCCGTCACCTACGTCTTCCATTTTCTGGTATCGGTTCCTTCTCCTACGCTCTATCTCCCAGTATCTCTGTCTCCGAAGCCGTACCCCGCCGAGTGATTCCGGGTATCGATACTAAGGTAACTATTATACGTTTTGTACGCGACGCGCGACTAGAGCCGATATACGAATCGGCTCTGCAAGCATTGTAATATTGTACGCGCTACGTGGCGCGATATATATATATTAGGTGTCAGAGGTTTAAATAATATACGCACGTAGAATGAAGCATAGAATCCTGTGTTCGTGTTTGTAATCGACGCTACTCTCAACTACCGTGGGAGGTAACCCTCTCTCAGCCGGACCGAGGACCTGGGTAGGGTAGGCGACGTAGACCGACTACGCCTTGTTACATAAGTGAGGGGGTAGAAATTAACTTTTGAACAAGGGGAGTCCGTAGCAAAATGAGGGAGTCCGCAGTCTGCAGTTCAAAACTAAAGCATATATAACAACAATAACGCATGTACGTATTTTGAAGATTCACGATTCATGCGATGTACGTCTGCTAAATTTTCTTTGGACATTTGCTGAAAAAAATACGGTAATTCGCGAGGCCGTGCTCTGGAACGAACTACTACTAGTTAGTATAGCAGAATTTTCAGGGAGTCACGCGGACTCCTGCATATGTCAAATCAGGGAGTCCGACAGTAAATCAGGGAGTATTTGACTCCGGACGTATTTACACAGCGTGGGTACAGCAGGTCAGCGTGTGTAAAGGCAGCGCAGGTGCTGCTAAAGCAGGCGAGGTGGCTACAGCAGCGTTGTACAGCCAGGTGTGTACAGCAGTATGCTACAGCAGCGCAGCGTGTGTACATCAGGCAGCGTCTTGGAAATAAATCCTTGTTGAGTTATATACTGATACGTTAGCTGTACGACTTTACTTCTCAGAAGACCACATGATTTCAACACTCATTTCACCAACATCTGAGAATATTTAACTTTCTGCATTCGGCGTGTGCCTCTTCACAGAAACATTCATCATGACGAATATAGGGTTTATATCACATCCTGCGCCTTGACATAAGTGAAAGACAGATATGTCAGATGTGTTCATGTCTCAACCACAAGCAACACCACCAACGAGCCAGCATCGACCGACCCCATAGACGGCCGACTGCAGCAACACATGATTGCCCACGAGAATGAAGTACAACCCGATCTACGCTCTCAATCAATGAGTCTTCAGACGTGTGCTGTGTGCCATCGGTCTCCAACACCAAACACACGTTTTATTTATACTCCCTCAGCGTGATTTAAGCGATTTCCAACCATTTAATTCATCGCCACTCGGCGACGAGAAGTAGGAGCATGGCAGAACGGAGGTGTGTCCATTGTCGTCGGTATGCTGTGCCCTCGTACAGTCCAGGAAGAAACCACCACACGTAAATGGGCATATGCTTGGCCCGCTGTTATATAGACAGTTGAGGAAAACCGCCACTATGCGGAATGCCGTCACATTTATGCAGTTTTGAGCGCTATGGCCAATTTCGTGCTAGCCTGGACTCCGGCGTCCAGCAATGCGTAAGCTATAACCATAAAACCACATTTTCTCCGACGTCACCACTCTAACTACTTGTTAACGAAGACATGCCAGTGGGTGAACGAGCTCACGTTAATG